CTGTTCATTAAACAAAAAATTCTTCAAATTTGGTCATCAGTAGCTGGTTATGGTGAATTACGTGTGCTTTTAGCCAATCAAAATAGGGGAAATATTTTGAATGAATAATAAAATATATTATTGTTGTTTGAGAGAAAAAGGAAAAGACTTGATTCAAGTACATAAATTGCCTAAGCTACAGTGTAAAAACAACCTAAAAGCTAGGCTATATATATTTTAGCTGATTCCCATTTTACTTATTTGGGAAAGTGCAGTTTCTTGGAGGTACAGTTTAGTAGTTCATTCAGTCGTGTTGTTGTACTTTCTTAGTTTGACCATAATATTGTGAGGATCTGTTGTAAGTTGTTCTCAAATGTCTCTTTATCTTGTTACTTACTATATTTACTTGTCTTGTCACCCTACTTATAAAGAAGACAAGTTGCTGGACAAACAAGAGGGTTCCCGGTCCCCCAAGGCATTTTTGAAGATCTTCACAAGATCTCGCCTCGTATTAGCCACTCAAAAAGGCGGGGGTATCATGAAGGGACCTGACCTTCACTCGTGTCGCCGGGCTAAGAAAAAATCTGATATAAGTACCTTTTAATACTCCTTACCTGTTCTTCAACAGGGTTGTTTCTTAATACTGTTACCATGGTAAAGCCTGACAAACATGTTCTCCATACCACAAGATAATTTATAATGATGTTTCACTCGTTATGCATGACCACTAAGGTCCTCAGTCACCTAGACTGATTGCAGCATAACGGTCCTTTCATTTGTTATGCATGCAGACCACTAACGTCCTCAGTCACCCAGACTGATTACAGCATAACAGTTGTTTCATTTGTTATGCATGATCACTAAGGTCCTCAGTCACCTAGACCGATTGCAGCATAACATTCCTTTCTCTAATTTGTTATGCATGACCACTAAGGTCCTCAGTCACCTAGACCGATTACAGCATAACAGTCCTTTCATGTGTTATGCATGACCACTAAGATCCTCGGTCACCTAGACCGATTACAGCATAACGGTCCTCTTATTGTTTATGCATGACCACTAAGGTCCTCAGTCACCTAGACCGATTACAGCATAACAGGCCTCAGCCCTTCATTTGAAATGAAACATCATCATATCATTGGCTATTGTCAGGCTAATTATGAGAAAGCCAGATGGAGTATTTTAAAAACAAATAGATTAGACAGTCACAATCCAACTAATTCATCAATGTCTCAATGATGACTTTGAGACTGAGCCCACTCTATGAGTCTGAGAAAGGTTTCCTCCCTGTATGCTGGCGCCAACACCCTTCTCTGCCGAGACTGAGTCGCTAAGACATGCAGTCTCTCAATCTCCACTGCTCTAGCTCTTGTAGTTGGAGTGTCCACAGGTCTGAATCTGTCATTGTTTATCAATACATCTTCATGAAAAGCAAAATCAGGATCTCTTCCTTCCCCGCCTGCTGATTTTGCTCTTGACAATGCCACAAATAGAGCTCCTGGGTTTCTGGCTTCAAAGCCATGGTCCCCGGGGTGAACCACTACATACCTGAATGCTTCTCCAGCACCCACAGTCATCCCTTGGCATTTGTGGATTGTTGTTCCCCATGCCAGTCGCAATGGAACCTGCAGACGCTTGCATCGGCATGCGCAATCAGTGGAACGACTTACTGGTACAATTGGCACAACTGTAGGATCTTCATTCATGTACGGTGGCCCCCTATATCCTGGAAACCTCACCAGAACCACATCAGGTACTGGAGCAGGATCATCAGTAGGTCTGCGGCCATCTTTGTACACAATGTCTACGACTGTACCTACCGCCCCATTGTACAAACCCCAATCAGCCTTTAAGTTAACCACCAGCATGACTTTGCTGTCACGGGAAAGATACAGTAAAGGTAACAATCCTCCCGCCTTATTACTGTCAGCCTTCACTGCATGTCTGCCATTGTGAGCTGCCTTAATCTTTGCTACTGGGTGGTTTGGCTGTCTGTTACACTCAAGCAGCTTTGTTTTATTACGCTGCCATTCAAGACGGTGCGTGGGAAATATGTACAGACCTTGCTCATCCATCCTAGCAAGGAGTTCTGGCCCATGTGACATGCGGAGATTGTGCCATTGAAACTGTTGTAGCCAATGGATTTGCTGGGGTGTTGTGGTATAATTTCTTAGTGACATCAGTACATCTCTCAGTTGTTGTTCAGATTCACTCTGCCGTATAATCTGAGTAAGCTCAACAGCGCTATCAAACATTGTCCAAACCAAGCGACCGTGGTTAGATGGTGCACTACGACAATCTGAGATGTACACGGGGGTGTCACACACAGGAGGAAGCTGAACATCATCTCCCATGAACACCGCTACAGGAATCCCTCCCCATAACTGATCTGCATTGGCCCCTTTGTTCACTGCATAACGTGCATGCTGTTCCATCCAGCCCATTGTTGTGCGTCCAAACATTGATCGTTCATCCCCAACCAGAACTTTCAGATTTTCGCACTTTTTCTGAATTTTCTCTCGTGAGGGACCTGTAGGTACAGTCAACTCATTGCAAGGCCTTCCACCCGTTGGTACTCCAAGAAAGCTGTGAGCTGTACTGCCTTGAACGAGATAGGCAGCATTCCCCGTTGGAGTTATCACCTGTATTGCATCATTGGCGTCAAAAACTTGCCGCACTAACCTCTGGAGACACTTTATGACATAAGACGTTCCTGTCCAGCAGTTCCAGAGACAACAAGCCGCAGTGGAAGGTAATATCCAGTGTTCTCAACAAAGTTGTACAGGGTGTGCAACACAAGCCCCACTATGGCTTTCTGATTCTCATTTAGAGACAACGGACACACCTGAGGTAAATCAAGGTCTCTACTTTCTGTGTCCCGTTCGTCATCCGCTTTAATGCTTTCTTGAAGCCATTTTGTTGGTTCTTTTCCTTCAGGGAGAATAATACGGGTACTGCTCCAGTCATAGTCCTCCCCACCATCATCATAATCAAAGTCCCTCTCTACACCCTCATACATTTGGTTCTGCCCTGCATATACATCCACCCAGTCTGGTTGTTCTTCTGCTTCAGTAGCATCATCTTCCTCATCCTCTTCAAATACTGGTTCTTGTGGGTGGTCTGCAAAACGCCGTGCCTTAGCAACTTGGGCCTTCACAAATGTTGGACAGTCATCACTTGCAAAAAAGTCCTTAAAGCGATCAATCCAAGATTCTGCATCCCCCTTCACTTCTTGGATGTCAAACCAGCTTGGCCAGTGTAACAGGAGCATGGTCCTACAGTAGTCTTCATTCAGTGGCCACGTTGCGTGCGTAGAACCACCACTTACAACAGGAACATTACCATTCTTAGATGCAAAGTGGTACCAAGAACAGTGTTCATCTTGCGGTCGTGCAAGGTACTTATCCAGTGGGGTGCTGCGAGTTGCAGTTTCACCATCACGTTCAAGTCTCCTTGACCCTGACATTGACAAGTAGGTAAATGGACGGCTACATCGCCAAAGTGCTAGCCCACTCAGCTCAAAAGATGCCTCCGGTCCACTGACATCTCGTCTTCCTACCGTCTTTATCAGCATCTTAGCACACATTGACTTGCCTGTGACTTGGTCTGCATCACCTGCATCAACAGCATTCACCATGTCCTTAAAGAGATCAGAAGTTGCACCAGTAGGTTCGCTATCTTTGCAAGCATATCCACACACATAGTCAATTATGGCTATGATATCATCTGTGCTAGGATTGTCGGGAGGGGAATTGGAAAGAATCAAGCTTACATCCCCATTTGCTCTCCACGATTGTAACTGATAACGAGAATGCTGAACCACACGTGGATGGTCACGTGGCATCTCTAGGCGGGGAGCTCCATTATGATCTTCCACAATTTCTGGATTACTGTGAATTTTTTTCCCTGGGCGGTACTCGCTTCCAAACTCCATCCGACATACACGTTCTCTCGGCTGCAGTCCTTGCTCCGGATGGCGAGGAGTTCTCAAGCAGTAATCAGAGCAACTGTGGAGTCCAACCCTGTTTACTAAAAGCAAATGATCCTCCAGTATTGCATCTTGTGTTGCAGCTATTTGCATTAGCATCTTAACTAGGGGATCTCTATCATCTGACATGGGCTCAGCCGTTCCCTCAGGTGGTGGCCAGAGGTCTTTTCTTGGCTGCCCTTCTTCATCATTGCCAGCTGGATGTAATGCTGTCATGGCAAAGGTTTCATCCGCCCACTGACTAAGTCTAGCTGCATACTCTTCATCTTCGCAACCATCTTCACGAGCTTCATGCAATAGCTGATGCGGTTGCCTGTCTTCCCTCCAGCTGAGTTGGTGCCAATGAATTTGACCGCGGGACTTGGCAAACTCATAGCGGTACCAATAATCAGAGACACCAAATACCGGCTTCAGTACCTTCTCATGGTATGCCTGGGTACGCAGGTCAAAGTAACTCACCACTACATGAGTATTTTCTTGCACTACCTTGAAGCGGGCATTGCTATCTTCAGCGAGGTTGACTTCTTCACCTTTGGTCTGCAAGATGTACTCTTCCAGTAGCTTTCTAAGAGGAGGAAAGTAAAACTCGGCACAGCTTCCAGTCATGAAAAATGAAGGCAACCCACGCTTCTCATTGACCATGAACTCCACAAAGGCACGAAGTTCTCTGCGTCTCTGGTGCCAGTACTGAGCTGTACCGCGCAGATTTGCGCCAAAATACAACAACTTGCAACAGGTCTGCAACAGTTATGTGTGGGTCACCAAGTTGCTGATCAACAAAGAACCGGCTCTGCTCCAGGGCACGCTTCCTCATTATCATATTGTGAACAACAAACTTCCACACCTTATGCCTAGCAAACCTCCCATCTTGGTACCACAGCAGGTGCTCTGCCCAGTCATGCAGTGAAGGACATGTCACTGGCCGGTTTATGTGGAAATCACCCTTTCCATAGGGAAACAAACAAGGAAATGCCATTGTAAAAAAGTACGGAGTGGTAAACTCTGACGCTGGTGTTGTGCCCGTGGTCGGCCAAGGAATGACTGGTCGTTCCACTCTTCGTTGTGTATTTTCTGCTTCACCCTCCCTAGGTTCTGACACAACTTCATTTATGGCTGCTTCAACTTGTGCTTGTACGTTAACTCCAGGCTCAGGAAGAATTACTCCAGAGACTGTAGAGTCATCAGTACAATCTCTTTCTCCAGCATCCAATTGCTGTGGAGCCGGCCCTTGGTCATCTACCCGTTCTGTTTCAGAAAACTCAACAGTTCTCAAATTGGGCAACTCCCCATCTTCAGGCAAATTCTCTATTCGAGCACCATCAATAACAACATCACCATAGGCAGGATTGTTGTCCTTCAACCAACAAAGCGCTCCCTCAACACGGTGTCTTCTAACCCTGAAGTCCTTATGGGTATCATCTTTTCCTTGTCTTCTCACGCATATGATATCCACCTCTGCCGGTAGTCGTGGAAGAATAGTTGCCGGTTCTTGCACAGCCTGTGGGAATGCAATGCAATGCCCCTTTGAAGCGATACCTCCATGCTTCAGTAAGTGTACATGTACGGTAGGTGCTAGCCTGGCTATCAGCATCTGTTCAGCATCTGACATGTCAGACAAAATCTCGGGAACAGCCATTGGATCCATATTATTCTCACCTGACCAAACTTTTGGTACCTTCTTATCCCTCCTGCAGCGAGTACACATGTTTCTTGTGCCCTTGCACTCCAGTCGTCGTTCCTTGCAGACCTCACAAAAACTGAATGCGTAAGTCATCTGCTCCACCTCAAATGCACGAATAGCACTGTACGCCTTATCTTCTTGCTGACTTGAACCTGCTGGTGGAGGTGGCGGTAGATCTCCAACAACTTCTCGCAACCTTTTCTCTTGTTCTGATATTCGTCTTTGGTTTCGCCGCTTTCTTTTTCTCCTGTCATCCTCTGTTTCCACTACACCAGGCTTTGCAAACTCATAGTCCACACCAACTGCCCTTGCTCTAGCAATGAGACGGTCATCTTCTAACTGGCTACAATTATTTTCCTCTGGAAGAGATTGCTGTGTTCCCTGCGAATTGCTTGCTCCCTCAATTGGGCCATTTTCTACTACAGGAGTGTCCCTTTCCAACTCTTCTCCTGGTGAATGAATTATTTGTATTTACCAACTACACATTAATTAATATAAGGTATGGGGATAGTGGATTCTACTTTTCATCTTGCTTGAGGGATAAGTGAAGTTTTGGGGGGTATTCAATTACAGGAGAAACATAATAAAGTTGTGAGGACTGGGCTAATACAGCTGCAGATGCAAGGTACAGCCTGCCCAAATGACAAGCTGTAAAACTTTGCACCCTAGAACTCATGCTTATGTAGCTGTACAAGTATTATTAGTATTTTTACAAATATGCTGTATCTGTGGAAGTGCTGTCAAAACCTGACTTCAAAAAGAAAATACACAGTATTTATACTTTCCAAACTTTAGATACCTGGTAATACAACAAGGCTTGAGAATAATTTTCTAAGTGGTGGTATTGACTGAGATTTCATAAATCAGTCATCAAAAATAATCGGAGTGACCGAACCAATCAATTAATCAACAAATATAATCAGAAAAAACAATACAGTAGACTCCTGGTAACTCGAACCCTCTATAACTTGAACCTCCAACTAACTCGAAGCAATTTTCATTTCCCTTTAGAACATTTTCTATATAATTTTACCCTCGATAACTTGAACTCCTGATAACTCGAACTTTTTTCTGTTTCCCTTGAAGGTTCGAATTATCGGGAGTTGACTGTATCTCTTTATGAATTTGGAGTATTTTAACTGTGTGCAAGTCAAAGTAACACAAATTTTAGGTACGTTTTCCCATAACATGCACAATCAAATGCAAACAAAACAAAAACTTCTACAAACCAGTCAAGACAATTAAGTACAGACATGATGTATTGACTATTTCTCTATTTGGTTATTTTTCACCACAACAACAACACTTGAAATACACGAGAAAAGGCCTAATCAATGAATTATATAGCTGCTTTTTTGAGTCCATGTTAAAAAATATATAATTTTATGAAAGTTTTAACATTTCCATATTTGTCAAACACACACACAGTCAAACCTTTATTTATATATTTCAAAATCTTGGTTACAAATATAAAATAACACATAACCCGCAATGAATAAACAAATAAAAATAATCACGCGGATTCATATAAAATAAATGTAAAGAAAAAAGTGTTAAAGGAAAAAGGAAAGATTAATTAGGGAAGGCAACAAAGCTCAATCAATTACACGAATACATGAAAAAGGGTAAAATGAAATATGCAATTGCTTTCCGCCAGCAAATTGTGGCACTCGATTGGTTCTGATATATATTTTCTATTAATGTTTATTAGCCAACTGCTCTAAGCCAATCAATTTTTCATGCATATTATTAACTTTCATTATAAATAGCATCTACCATAATGATAGTCAACTTAATATGAGTACCTGCTGAATGTCTTTGCTCTTGTTCGCCTAGCAGAGAGCATTCCATGCCACATTCAACTTGGAGGACCTCACTTTCATGTTCTTCCATGGATAAGAAGATAAAATTTCAAAAATGTTTAGTTGGGTAAGAATTTTCCCTCACCTTCTTAATTACTTATGCATACACCTGTTGGTCAAAGAAATAGAAGTCAAAAGAATATTGAGCCTTTTAAATTTGTAAATTCTTCTTTAATTCTTATAGGGAATTGTTCTTAAGAATAAAAGAGCTGCATGAGCCTGACAATATTCCTGGCAATATTATTTACAACACTCTACCCCCGATGAATGAAATATTTGGCACTTAATTAAGTTAATAGGTACTGTTAGTGAGTTAAAAGCAACTAATCCACAAGGACAAGAATAGCTATCAAACCTGAATTCAAGGTTCAAAATTACAGCGAGTCCAGATTGGCCCTTCAACATTAAGGCACTGAAAATTATAATAACTACCTTTACATGGCTAGTTCATTGTTTTTAAAGAGATGTTGCTTTCATAACTTGATAACCATACTCAAAAGAGGTTTATAAGATGATATATAATGTTTGTCTTAAAATTCAATAGTTCCCGATCTCGCAAACAAGGAGTTTTTGAGCATTTTATATGGGGACAATTTTTCTTGATTTTGACTATAATTTTACTACAAAGTACAATGTTTTCAATACAGTAAAAACCCGTGACTAAGAACCTGGTTTTTTAAAACCCTTTTATAGACTAAATTTGCCAGTTACTGGCCCCCTCTAAACAACAATCTGTTAAGCCTCAAAATATTTGAAACACATTCTTATTTTCTTCAATCTATAAAAAAATTATATACACTTGGATAACATTTCTGGAACCTCGAGACATCACCCCATTGAAGGCCACTTATTAAGTACTCTTAGGTAATATTTTGACCGGTCAGAAACCATATGGCCGAGCCTGTCAACATCACCGGCTACTATTCAAAAATCATTTCGAGACCTCACGCTGGCTTATTTCTCCTCATTTACATATTCTTAAACACTCGAAGATATGGATCTACAAAAACAGTAAAAGAAAAGTTATCTCAATTACAAGAGGGAGAATACCTCCTTCAAATTAGCCTGAATAAAATAAATAGAGGGCCTGAATCCAAACAATCTGCATCAAATCTCCTTAAAAATTCAAGCGCACTGCTAAATTTAAGCTTACTGTGTTTTATAAATCTAGGAAATCTAAAGCCTTCAATACTGCAAAACAGAAATGTCTCCTTCACAATGTCGTTTTTACTCTGGATGAATATACGATGTATTCATTACCTGTATGACAACGGGACAACTGGCCTGTTTGAACGGTCGATATCTCAGCGCATCCGTTAATCTTATCGCACCTAAGCTGCTGTTCTCCACACACTAAAATCAAAGCAGACACATCACAATTAATCACAAATCTTATTGATTTACCTGGCACTTAAAACCCTCTTAAACGGAATTGTAAAACGAACGCGAAGACCGGAATACTTTTCACCTTTTAGCCATTGACAAAGCAAAACGCACTTGGTTGTAATGTTTTGACGCGTCAAACAGTTCAGACTACAGAGGGGACCGCGACTAATTGATTGGACAAGTATCAAAAGTGTTTCCTTTTACTTGTCATCAAAATTTCGACACAAAACGCATCATTCCCGGCGTCATTCCTGCCTAATTAAGAGATTGACTTCTGTATTAAAACACCGGGCTTTCAAACTATATAACGTGGGTCAACATTCAGGGACGCATGTTCAACTTTTATCGTTAATCCCTCCAGTTTAAGAAAAATTTTTGCTCTTCCCACTTTCTGAACTCTGTGATGAGACGCTCACTAACCTTCTGCTGACATGCTGTTTTGCTGTCGTAGTCTTTGCGTTTGTAATTCTCTTTCTCGTCTCCTTTGTCTGTTTTCTCTGGCTCTAACACGTTCCAAGTAAAACGCGGGTTGCCCAGACGCGCAATTTCCCGCCAAAAGAGAGGGAGCTTGTCAAGTTGAGCAAGATCTATTGTGACATTTCACATCTGCTTACATGAAATGTGTGTACGGGTGGGCGGGCGGGTGGGCGGGCGTACGCTAAGTCATAACCAAATTTTCTGGGGAGGATAGTTTACCAAATTTTCTTACCCATGGTGCTCTGCTCCGCGCGCGCTTCGCGCGCACGAGAAGCTCCGCTATAAGGACATACATGCAGGAGAATCAGAATCTTGAAAGAGTAGAGTAGAGTAGAACAGAGGAGTTCACGCTCATAGTTGCATCATGGGTAATCAGGGTAAGATGGCGGGAAATTAGAAGATTTATATTAGAATTCAAAGCCAGCTAATTCTTCCTGAATTCATATATTTGATGCTTTCTCTTGGAAAAGAATAACTTACGAGTTCAAAGAACTTAATACACTAAATCTGGACTGCACTAAGAGGTCCGTGATAAAGCATTTATAAAGCATTTATATTACCTCATTTCGAATACTGCAGTCCTTTGTTTGTAGGCATAGGTATTCAGGGCGGAAAAACGTAATGAGCATGCGTGAACGTTTTTGCCCAGATCCCCTGGCCGGGTTTGAAAAAATGGCGGGATTTCAAATAATTTATTGCCTAAAAATAAAATGTTTCCACTCATAACCTGGAAAGAACAGGCAATTTGTCTTCAAAAGTTGCAAGCTGTGGTTATAACCTTGTCGTTAGTAAATTTTCTCGAAGAATACCTCATAGTAAAACGGACTTTAACGACATTGATTTCCTTGCGTTGTGCTGGAAATGTGCATGCGTAGGTCCGATTTTTTTCGAGATGCATTCACAAAATGTGCTCATATAAGGAAGTTCCTGGATATATAAGGTCCGGAGCTCCACTGTGGACACAAAAACAACATATCTTTGAACAGTGATTTGCCCAAAAAAATTAACGCTTGCCCACAATGTGTTTGAAGTCACTGAACTTTGTCGCACTCGAGCTGATATTTTAAAACCCTCGCTTGATCGGACACTCGTAGTTTCGCAGATCACTAAAATATAAACAAAATCCTCAATGTAGAAGTTATTGCGTTGCCTTTATGTGGGCAGAAAAAAGGTCAATCTTTATCTAGTAAAATCTTCCCAAAAATCGGTTTCAAAGCAACTACAGTTTTTTAAACTTGCTCATTTCGCGCAGATATATAAATTTTGCTTTGTGTTTTCAAGTTGAACACGCATAACATCTGTCAAAAACCCACGCGTAAGTAGGATTTCCTTCAAACAAAGTTGAAGTTACAGTATTTCAAAAACTTGTTGCTGACAATGAAGAAATGAATTTTCTGTACGAAAACAACCTACCTAAAGACCTTAAAAGCAAAAGATCACTTGCAACTTGGCAGCCAAGCCATGATTCACCATTTAGCTATTTTAAGCTTAACTGGCCATGGTCCATGCGAGGGTCTTCGTTTAAGCAAATTAAACTCAGCCGATCATTAGAAAATACAGAAAATTGCATATAAGGGTTTGTTTTGCTCGCCGCAGTCAAATCCAGCTTCAGCCGTTGTTTACGGGAAAAGAGTCAATTGTTTTGAAGTCACTGCCGGCAGCTGTCGTTCTCTACTTCACAGCGAGTGAAAAGGACAATTTGCGTACAGAAAGTTATTCTTATAAAGAACAGAAACTTTTACAGTGCACTGGAAAACAAAACAATGTAATGAAAATGAAAAAAACTCCGACTACTATTACTTGAGCAACAGAAAAATGATCCTGAGTAAGCTTGCTGGCCTTCTATTTCCGAGAAAGTTTAATAAGCGCACAAGTTTGTTCACTCTGATGCGTTATAACAGCAATATGGTTCTTTGACTGACGACAAAGATAAAGCTGGTTCTGCAAAGGTAATAAATCTGGGCGTGTAAAAAAAGTAACCGTAACTACTAATAACAGAATACAAGCGGGATTTTAATTCAACCCGGAGAAATCAACTCATAAATTAATCGGATGCACAATTAGAAAAAATACTCGCCTCTTTAAAAATGTTCAAAACCTTTTATTCCACCTCAGACTGACGGAATGATCCATTTTTCCTTTAACATTGATTGTTCTGAATCCAAAGTAATTTTCAAGCGACGAAAAAAAGCAAACATGTCAAATAAAAATGCTTTACAGGGAACAAACGTTCGCACCTCGTGCATTTCACTCAGAACTCCAGCAACAAACAAACACAAAGTCAACACACAGAAAAGCCCGCCTTGAGCCTGCGGTAAGGGATGCGCAGAAGCTTGCGCAGAACGTTTTTCCGCCCTGAAGCATAGGTACGGGTCAACGCAACCGTCTCGAAGATGGCAACTGTTATATTTTGAGAACATTAATCGGGCACAACAAGTCAATGTCATACGACGAGCTGCTCACTACGGCTAGCATGAAATCCTTATATTGTAGGCGCTTACACCAGGCGTTAATACTTCTTTTTAACTGCTTAAATGGTACGGGACCTACTTATATTGGAAGCCTTTTTAAATACAGGCATACACCGTATAGGCTAAGAGGCGAGGGCTTGAATTTGGAATTACCTAAGTTTAATCTTAAATTTAAGAAGAATTCTTTTACTTATTCATTAGCTAAGTTATGGAACAGTTTGCCTTCTCAAGTGCGTCTTTCAAGAGATGCTAATGACTTCAGAAGTAAATTGCACGACTGTAGCTTTTTAGAACGCGTCTTATAGTGCACGATTGTAGCCTTTAACTGTTTTAGAACGAGTATTATAGTTTTCCTAGTCACGTTTTTAGTATGTGGCTTTTTAGTCGGTTTTAGCCTTTTATATTTTATGTTTTTATTACCAAGTTTTTTATATGTATATATTTATTGAGTTGTTTTTAAAATTGCATAATATTATATAGCTGTAGTTATTATAGATTTTATTTATACACGTTCGTATTTTGAACGAGTTTTTTAGCTCTTTGACGTAACGTGTTAAAATAAATGATTGATTGACTGATTGATTGATGATTGTGATCAGTTTTTAGAAAACCTTTATTTTTCCATGCATTTTCTGTAATTTTGATATTGTCGAATTACAGAAAATGTACGGGAAAATCAAGGTTTTCTAGAAACTGATCAAAAGTGTTCTTTCAAATTACGACAGTTTTTTTAATTACAAATTACCACAAAGTTCTTACAAATTGCGACAGGTATTATACATTACGACATAATTATTAGAAATTACGACATAATTATTACACAGTACGACATAATTATTAGAAATTACGACAGAACACACAGTATTAACATTCACTATGCGTCCATCGACAAGGTGCTGTCCGAGCTTGAGCTCAGGGCAGTCAGAGTTCAGAGAGTTTGAGCACAACAACACTGCTCCATAAAATTGTCATGGCTTCATATATTTTAATATCAATTCAGTTTTCATTTACATGTTATAACAGCTTTATCATTATATCGTCGTATATTGTTCACAGCGACTTCGAGCAAAGAATCAAATGAGTTAGGTTGCATTAGCTTGCATGATACATGAACTAAAAAAATCACTTAACATCAAAGATGCAACATGCATTTAAACTTTTTTCTAAAATATGAATCATGCTTAGCTGTGAGTGGAAAAAGATCCCTGTAAAACGACCTTCAAAGAGTTAGAAACACTCAATTCACAATATTACAAGCGTTAAGAGACGATTTTCACCTACCTCGTGTAAGAACAATGGGTCACTCCAACTTTTTAATTATCATAGCATCTCGATTTATCTTCCTTTATAGCGCGTGCAAGTTTTCAAATTTGTTTGTTATCATGTAATAATGGTGTGTAATGTTTGTAACGTCCATTCACCCTGACGAAGGCCGTTTAACACGGTCGAAATATAGGTGAGACGAAAAACATATTGTTTTACTCTTGGCTTGTGGTACTCTATTTTATATATATATATATATATATATATATATATAATCTTTACTCTTTTAACATTTGTAGTTCTTAAATAATTGTAGTTAACATTCTAATCATTAGTTTTTTAAGAACAGATTCATGGCCTTACTAAACAGCACCATCATTATGTTTATATATATAGAACTCATTGTCAGTGTACTTTATGTTTCACACTGTTGGTAATCTTGCATCAATTCAGTCTTCACTTTTCTCTGAACAGAATGATTGATGTCAGCGTAAACCGTTGGAGCGCTTGCTCAGTGAACCTTCCCGTTTTTATTGTCTGATAAGTGGCTCACGTTTGCATACACTAGGTGGCCACTGCAGTAAGGGAGTGGTTTCTGTTTAAAAATAAATGATAATAGTTATAATAATAAATCAATCTAAAAACAAAAAGAAAGAAAGAAGCGTTGTGGCTATATTGCTGGCAGCCGGGAAGGGCCTCAAAAAACTAAATGTCTGGCAATCAAAATCCCTTTTTCTAATCGTTTGAAAGTATTCTATCTTCATTTAGAATAACCAACCGATCAGGAAAACAAAACTGGCTTCGCAGCTGAGAAATGTGGTTGCTTGGGCATAGAGTAGAGTCGACACTGTTTCGACACTTTGAAAAATTTCGCGAGCGTGAGGCACGGGCACGATTTCACACAGGCTTAATACCCGGCAGCCTGAAAGCGGAGCTGGAAAGTAAAAAAGCCTTCTCTTAAGCTCCAGAAAACATGAATACTAGCTTCCATTAGTTTTCCAAAACAATCGGAGAGAGAGTGCTTTGATTTTGAAAAATCATTTCGCAACCTCGAGCCACCTTGAGCTAGACTCTCGACACAGCTTGATAGACTGGTAGCGCCACTGAATCTTGGGAAAGCGTTCCTCTAATTTTGAAAAATTTATGCCAATTCTCCTCAAAATATTCTATCATGGTTTAGAATTAGTGAATGACGAGAAACGCGGACAGAGTTTCTTAACCAGAGGTTAGGTATCACTTGGTTTTGAATTCATAGCCTATGTTGTGGTCGACTCACGGGCACGGTTTTCTAATCAGTCTAAATACCCGTTAGTCCGTTTCAACATAAAGTTTCTCTTTATAGCGGTTTATAGCCACCATTGAAATTATTTCATCGACTCTCAGAGTAGCCAAGCGGGTACAAAGGGTTCAATAAACCGTTAAACATATAATAAAGTCTGCCGGGTATTTAGTTTGGATGAAAACGTGCCTGTGAGTCAAGCACTTGTTCTCACGAAATCAGTTTTCTAAGTGCCGAAACAGCTCGACTCTGCTCTATGCCCAAGAAACCACAACCGCTCAGCTGCGAAGCCATTCTTGTTTTCCTGATCGTTTGGTAATTCTCAATGAAGATAGAATACTTTCAAACGATTAGAAAAAGGGTTTTTGCAGAAATTCTAGAAAATGTTCTGACTGCCGGGCATTTAGTTTTCTTAAGACCCCTCGCGATTGCCTTGTATATAGCCACAGCGTTAGAAAAGTCTAAGATCCCACAGTTTATTTTGGAAGCTCTCTCATGGTGCAAAATCCTTACAAAATGTGAATGAATGAATAAATGCCATGTTTTCGTTGTAACCGCATCAAAATGATAGAAATGCTGATTGAACGTTGTGCACTGTCAGTGCCACAAAACCATGTAGCAAGGGAGTCCGATGGTCTTCATAACCGATTCTATGAAACTATCGTTAAACATAATAAAGGGTGTAAAAATTCCCCTAGCATCCTTAAACAAGGTAATGTTGAACACATGATCATTCGCGATCAATAGGAACTAGTTAGGGTAGTTAAAAGTACCTACCTCAGGAGCCATTCGTTTCTTTTTGGATTTGTCAACAAAAGTGCATAAAAGTGATCGTTGCACTCAGTTTTGCTCTTTGGATCCTGTTCACTCGTAGCCTCGTTGCTGTTCATTTCCTTTCCTTGTTCCAAAGATAAAGGATTCAAATCCTCCACAGGATTCTCACCAACAGTCGAACTCTCTTCTGTGCAGGTAACGCCCAGGCCCTCATCCCGAGAAACTGATGCTTTACCAAACATCGCCTCACTTTCTTTAACAAGCACGTTGGCGTAAACGTGATGCCCCTTTTCCTCTCGATCGTTGTCTTTACCACACCTCTCCGTATTCTCCTTCAATACAGATTGGTCTGCTGTAATGTGCTCATCTTTTGAGGGCGGTCGAACTTCTCCTACTTCGGAGCTGGATGGACCTTCTTGGTCACACTTGGATTTTCGCTTACTCTCATCTACAACTGCATAGGCGTGCTCTTCGTTGTCTTCTCCGAGAGTCTTAATTGTAATAACCTCTTCCTGTGCTTGTGACATACTGAAATGAACTGTAAGTTTGGAGGAGCTATGCAGGTAATGAGTTTGGTCACTGGATTGTTTTCTTGAAGACAAAACTTTAACAAAACACAATGTATGAAAAACTTCACGTGCATAATGAATATTATTAGACTATGTTCACATTATACCGGATATCTTTCGCGCCTGCACGAAAACCATATTCTGGATAGGGCTTCGTTTCACACATAAGAACGATGATCTCGGTGCGATTTCTGTAATGAGGCGAAACTGCCCCGAGCCGATCTCTAAAGTGCAAAGTTATACAGCAGATAAGTACACTGGACATCTTTTCGTGTCTGCACGACAAGCTGTCCGGTATAGTGTGAAGATAGCCTAAGTGTAAAATAATATTCTTGATGTGCATACAAATTAAAGAAGAAATGCTTAAGAGGGATAATTTCAATGTGAAAAAAAAAAAAACAACAACAACAACAACTAAAATTCCGAAAGGGAATTAACCATTGCAAAGGAATCCCAAATCTGTTGCGAATTTATTTACATATAGGCGTACAGGCCGGGGAAGCTGCAGCCCCCCCTCCAAATTTTGAGCAAACTCAGATTTTTTGGGCAGCAAGAGAAATTGGGGCAAAGCCAGTTTTTAAGAAGTTTCCATGTTTTTTTTTGCTTCGAAGAGATAGATATTTTCTATTTTAACCTGAAGTCTGCGTGGTTGCCTAGCAAGTGGTGAGTTTCTGGTTTATTGTTGGGCACTGTACTACACTGCACCAGCTGGTGTAGGGTATTTTCAGTCGTGAATTGATCACAATCAACTTCCGCATAACTTTCTAGAATCATTTCCGGTCGTAGAAATGCCGACATGACCATTCAGACCCTGCACAGTGTGCCGCAGTACAGTGAAGCAGAAAAAGCACATATTATTCATTGTTTCCACCGTATTAACATTGACTATGCGTACAGGATCGACAAGGTGCGGTCGGAGCTTGAGCTCAGGTTTAGCGGAAATGATCAGGAAATGCTTTGGGAAATATCTGCGACAGTGAAACACCTGGTAAAGAAGGCTTCTCCCGCGTTGCTAAATTTTACAAAATCGACGGCAAAATTCTCGAAGCCGAGCAGAAAATGTACGCGACTTTTCGTCGTGACCGCGGATTAGGCTACATGACTCTTCCAGAAATTCTGAAGACAATGCACGAGAATAATCTATTTGATATGTTTCGCGTGTTTTCTAATGTGGTACATATCCTTGGAGTGATACCTGCTACATTGTGTTCTGCAGAACGATCCGTTCAGTGCGTTGCGCAGATTGAAAACTTACCTCCGCGTCACCGTAGGGCAACAACGAGTCCGTAACATCGTCAGTAACATGATCGTATCATTGATATCTTCAGCCACCAAAATGGCAAAGACAGCTATTTCTTTTAACGTGTTTTATGAGCTCATATGATAGATTCATATGTAAGCATATTTTCACTTCATATGTAGGCCTATGTTAGTGCATCTTATGACCCTCGTTTCTTTTTTACTGTTTCGTAAAATTCTGAGCAACTTGCGACAATTTTTTGGGCATATAGTTTATCGTCCCCCGCCCCCCAACCAAGCCAAAAATTGCCCGTACGCCTATGTATTAACAGCTTCAACAGCTTCTGTATTTAAATCCCCCACCAACACAGCACCAGAGTTTCTTTACGAAACTAAACCCATACATGTTTGTTTTATTATTTTTTCCCATATTTTCAAAAACATCATTTGGTTCGGCGATTAAATCAGAGTTTTGGAAACCAAATATTATTCAGTATAGAAGATAACAAAAGGTACCTTTTGTCTTGTTGTTGCGACGCCGGCGAGTAAAAATGAAGAACAATACAATCAAAACAACCAGTATGATAACAGCTAGCAGGATTAAGATGATTGTAGTGAAATCGGGAGATTCATGCAAGATGCCCTCTGGAAGTACCCCTGCCAAGGGAAAGACAAATAAAGTAAAATTTGAGACTTACTTTTAAAACTTTAAGAAACCATAATACATCCCCTTGGGCGTTGTCCAAAGTTAAGCCGATTTGAAAAAGTGTTGTAAGTAACACGTAGCCGGTTTCCTTGAAGAGCACACCAAGTTCGTAAAAACAGTTAAGTGATATGCTGGTGTTATCCCGAAGGGTAAAAATGAATGACTGATGAGCATTCACGTGGAAACACCCAAATTATACCCAGGTAATTAACCTTAAGGGTGTAATCTGGTTGGTTTGGTTTGCTTGTCCGTTTTTGTTTTTGTCGAGTTGAGAATTTCAGAAATTTACATTAAAAGAAGATCATGGTTTTTCTGGTACCTTGTACTGGTATTGGACTACCTGGTTATTTTTTACAAATTATTACCGTTGCTTTTAATTCCCGATGACCCTAAATCCAGCATTTTTTAAATTTTTCCTTAAAAGTAATCACTCCAAGCACCTCCCCTGATTTTATTCATTAAAAACATTAAAAGCAATCCAAAATTCTCAACAATTATTGAGTCAGACTCCAAACCTATTGAGCCATTTTTGTTGGAGTGAAATCTTGGCAAGATCTGTGAGAAAAAGTGCGGAAAAAAAAAAACTAAAACAAGGCCAACCACTTTGCCCCCTTTAGGCTAAGTACAATAACAACTAATCTGTTAGATTTGTATTGGTCATAGGCATGATAGACTTTCTCAGTGAGGTCGGTTCGGGAAGTGTTCTTGACTCTCTAACACTGAACAGCTGAACCACTGAGGATTTGACATTGTTTGTTGGTTCTAATGCTTCAGTATGAGGAAAAAAAGCCATTGACGTGCAATGACTAGCTGTGTAGCCGAATGTCAAAACATTGAGCTATGCAAGAAATTATCCGCTCTTGGCAACCATTAATATAGGATTAACACGAAATGGTTCAGTTTGTATACTGCCGATGATCTGCATATCTGAAGAACAAATCAAAGAGTATGTTCACCAAAAAAGGATCAATGTTGCAGTTACTTGGGTACTGCCTTTGCCCGGGAACGACTACTCAGTGAGCTCGGACACGTTAAAACGGTAGCCAGTAAAGGAGGCGTGAAAACAGCCATGTATCCATAAGCAGGAATTGCTAAGTACTACACTGATTTGCTTTACGGTGTTATTGGCTTACCTTTCGTTACCATTGTCATAGAACTCTGTGAAGACGATGTGGACCGTTTCATTATGGCTGTCCCAACAGATGATCCACCGACTGGGGAAGGTACTGTGGTTTTCCGCAGCTTTGGTGACTTAGTTGTCCTCTCTAAAAAGAGAATTGCTTAGACGAAGTTCTACGCTCTGTAGTACAAATCGAGCAAATGCATGGGTTCGACATGATGTCAGTAAATTAACTGCATCTGTACTTTCATAATCAATGCAGAAGAGACTGTGCACTGCCGTGTAACCATAAAGGAAGGCTTTAGCTGTTCATCTCAAAACTCGCCTGTACACAGACGTTGTTTTATTTTTCTTTCCGTTCTTTTCGAAACAATCGGCGAGCGCGCGAGAAAGAAAAATAAAGAATGTCTCTAGACATCTTTGGAAAAAATGAGGTTTATTAAGCCCCTCCCTCATGTCAACGCCTCATCATTATTACCTCCGCTTTTACCGTACTCACTTTTAAGAATTTTACAATCAAACACCAGTGGCACTCGGAGTCGCGTTTCTACGCCAAAAAAAGCCGGCTAAAAGAGGTCCGAAGCCGAAACAAATCGGCCCATCAAATTATTGTAGGATATGTGGGTGCTGTTTATACGTCGATATTACTGGGTAATCGTCCCGTTCCCGTAAAGCTACAGAGAATCTTTTTTTTTTTGAGTGAGTAAAGCCAGCTTTTAAGAAAGCGAGCACGACGATGATAGCTTTCGCTTTTTAAAAAACAGAATGTACGCATCACCTCATGGTTCCGCAACAAGGTAATGCAATGGCTGAAATGCCAGCTACCCTCATTGCTTCAACTTGATCATTGATAATACTTCGTAATGGTGATGTAACTACATTCCTCGTTTTCCAGTAAACCCAAAACAGCCTGACACTGCTCTTCTTTGTGCACGTATATGCTTGAAAATTGTGCCAAACAGTCGAAGCACGCTTTCCATAGTCTACACTCCGATACAAAAGATAATTATGGTGAAAATGGTCAACACAAGCTTGTATTATGTCTCTATGCCAGGTTCACAGGTCAGCGGCGCTTTCAATCGATGTTATTTGTTTATGCAAATTACAATTAAGTGTCCCGGTTAACGCTTCTACTCGCATTACGCGAGCGTGATGAGTCGTTGACATTATGATGACAGGATAATCGCCGTTCAGTCAATGGTAACTTGCTTTTCCTGGAAAAAGCAAGTTTCGATTGCTCCCAGACTCTACAGACCGTCTATTTTCTTCTCCTCCCCACCCTTACCCCCTTGCGTTGGCGGTCAATAAAGCCCCTGCGGTTTATATTTTGTCACCCGCGCTCGACAGACTTTGAAGAGAGAATAGAGGGTCTGTGAACAGGCTATCGCAAAACTAAATACAATGAATGAATGTATCCAGCAGGTTAAAGATCAGACTGAACACACTGAATCATTTATAAAATATTTATGAGTATCTCAGGACGGTGTATTAAGACTTTGAATTTTTTAAATAAGGTTTGTTCACAGGCGGCCCAAACTCACGTTACGAGGGAAGGGCGTAATGTAATTTACATACCATAGGTGATGCGCCGGTGTAGCGTTACAGGCGACCTTTGAAAATGTAAGAGACTTTGAATGAGAAATATATTACTGAGATCTGCGAACGCTAAATAACGCTAAACCTTACTTTTTGTTAAATGAAATGAATAAAAAAGACTTACCTGCAATGTATTCCACTGCGTTTTGGTGTCTGTTTGTCGTTTTACAGTTTTTTGGCTTTATTGCGTAACCACAGTTACTCTTTTCATAGAACAAAGTGAAGGCTGGTCACTTCGATCTGTCGGGGTCCTGGACCAGTCGCAACAAGAATGCGGTTTTTTTCGCCGAAATTCAAATCCACTGCAAACTTTTCAGCTCCAGCCCAAGAGGGAAACGTCTTCTTCCTCTCTGGGAGATCGGCTCGAAAAAAGATCCATAATGTCCCCATTAAATCGAGCAATTTGTGCCGGACGTCGAGGCACGTCTGGCTTTCGTCCAGCGCCTGTGACCACTGTTGCGTTTACCAACAAATTTGCATTATTGACAATTAGCACTCACACGACGGGTGCAAGCACTCGCTTTTTCACAGTGCAAGAGCTTAGATGACATATCATTTCCGCCCTGGCACCCGTCGTGTAAGTGCTAATTGTCATAATGCAAATTAGTTGGTAAGCGCAACAGTGGTCACAGGCACTGGACGGAAGCCAGACGTGCCTCGACGTCCGGCACAAATTGCTCGATTTAATGGGGAAATTATGGATCTTTTTTCGAGCCGATCTCCCAGAGAGGAAGAAGACGTTTCCCTCTTGAGCTGGAGCTGAAAAGTTTGCAGTGGATTTGAATTTCGGCGAAAAAACGGTATTCTTGTTGCGACTGGTCCCTTGGTCCAGGACCCTGATAGATCGAAGTGGCCAGCCTTCACTTCGTTCTATGAATTGTTAAGGAGTAACAGTGGTTACGCAATAAAGCCAAAAAAAAACCAGTAAACGACAATCAAACACCAAAATGCAGTGGAATACATTGCAGGTAACTCTTTTTTATTCATTTCATTTAAGAAAAAGTAAGGTTTAGCGTTATTTAGTGTTCGCAGATCTCAGTAATATATTTCTCATACAAAGTCTCTTATATTTTCAACGGTCGCCTGTAACGCAACACCGGCGCGTCACCTATGGTATGTAAATTACATTACACCCTTCCCTCGTAACGTGAGTTTGGGCCGCCTGTGGTTTGTTTTTGGTGAAAAAGTAAAATTTAACATATTTTATCGTACGCGTTGAAGCAGTGTTGCATTATGCCGTCACCTGATTTTATCCTCCATACGAAGTCACAAATCGTGTTTCGTTAAACAGGGTTGAAACTTTTCAATATTAACTGCAAAAGGACCACGATAAACGATTATATATGCTGCAGAACGTAGGATCCTTAGAATACCCGATCAGCAAAAACATACCAACAACTCATATTCCGGTAGCTCTGTTTTGGGTTTTATCGATGTGGTATCTATGTCTTAAAAAGTTTTGAATTTTTACGGGAGAGTAACGATCATCTTTGTTGATTTCAATGTGTTAACTTGAAACTTGTCGCCTGTATGACGTTGACGGTTTCCCATAACAGATTGGAGAAATGGCTCATCTTGAACTCCAAACCACTGAATCTCTTGTAGTGTCAAGCCTACAAATTTTACTATGAGTGGATATGAACGGCTTTCTACTTTTTAGTCTCGCTTACGTAAGCAGCGAGACTCATGATCTGCAAGCCGCTTTTTCTTCGTATTTAGTGCACAAAACAACGGTTGTCGTCCCAGGCGTTCCTAGCGGAGACCGCGGAAACTGGGAATAAGAATTGTTAGCTTAGGTTTAGAGCTTTTCCGGAACGGTTCTGTCCACGAACTCTATCGCTTGAAAACGTTGATTACTTTGCAATACGTGAACTCTTCGGTGGTCGGAAAGAAAAGGAGAATTATAATTATGAAAAGGCTAACTGCTCGGGTGTTGCAAACTGTCACTGTATGCAAATGAATCTTGTGGTGAGCATGCGGTTTATTTTCGGCGATGATTGAAATGACGCGCCATGTTCTCGTCAGGTTTTTTTTATCTTTGGCAGTGAGGTAATTTCTCTCGAATCGAGGCCTTTGAATTTTCATGTAACCGACACACTCGTATAACCTGCGACCGCAAACGTAACTCCGGTCGTCGCTAACACGCGTACTAAATCAATTGAGAAACATTTCGTCGAGTACGATATAAAAGTAAATATCCTGAAATACTTGACCGTCGATAAAATAACTAGGAAGTGAAAAACCTTTAGCGAGTAAATCCTGTTTCTTGTAGAATTAATCACCTCCTCATTTCTTATCTAGTCTCCAAGCAAGCTAGACTAAACGACGATTTTAAGAGCTTTCCTGTTTAATCTTATTATTAGTGCATAATTAAGTTTTTATTTGATGGACGGTACTAGAGCAAGCAAACATGGTGTGCATATGATTCACTATCTCTAGCGACTCACCATTTGTACCACATGCCAAAGATTTCAACGGCCTCTCACAGATATATCCAATGTTGGTCGTTATGGACGTGCATTTAGCGTCGTCATATACATAAGTCCACGGGCTCGTACTTTCTTTGCGCCACATTTTAGCGCAATTTCCATTTCCTGATGGCTGATCCGTAGCCCAAGGAAATTTCCCCGTTTCAGTCTCTTCTAATGTGCTGTTATCACTTATCCATACCCACTTCTGGCCATACTTTTTTAATCCAATGTAATATTGAGTAGTGTTCATTTTAAAGATTTCTGAATGATTTGTCAGGAAGCTCAACTCAGCCGTTAAACGTTCCATGGAAACAAGCTTGCTACCACTTTGCTCACACAGATTCTTGCTTTTTTTCCAGGTAATCTCAGACTTCATATGAAATGTGTAAATGGAGCAATCGTAAACAATCTCCAGGTCTTGACAAAAAGAAATGTCATAGGTATTATATTATAATTATATTACTTATAATAAATTACAAATGAATGCATTGGAAGTAAAGGGGTGGTTAGTATCATCTTAGTATCGGTGTTCAGTTTTATCATACTGACCTCATTTTCAGGATATCGGGAACGTCTTCCAATTTTTGTCATTGCTAGGTTATGCTAGGTAGTAATGAGGGATTAAACTTGAGATTTGAGGCAATCAGACTGACTGAAATAATTCGAATGAATAATATTGTAATTTATTGTACTGTCATGTTAGGTTATTTGGAGTATAAAATACAGTTAGGAAAAGAAAGAAAAAAACAAAACAACAACAACAACAACAAAAAACCGTGAAGGTTATTTAACCAAATGTCTAGGGTAAAAAGATACATTTTAAGATCTAAAACCAAGGAAATTTTACGCCTTATCCACAATGTAGTAGACCCAAAAAGCTAATTCGATCTTAATACACCTCTTACCGCTGAATATAGGCGTCGTTGCTAAAAATAATGCAAAAACCAAAAACAAAACAGGAAGGATTGAAAACTGCATTTTGTTGGCTTCGTCTGTGGGTGCTGATAAGTCGACGGCCTACACTAGAATTATGAAGCTCTCAATATTTAAATAATGAAAGATTATCATCAGTCTTGTTTATCTTTTTCTATCGTATAAGTTTTTATTGGTAGAGTTAAAGGGCTATATAAATTTAAACATCGACATGCCTAGTTCGAACTTGGGAATGAATAAAGTTATAAGTAACTTTCTGTGTAATATGGATCGATCGATCAAGATTAAACAAGAAGTGTAACAGTATTAACCACTCATTTGTAAAACTATAAAAGTTCACTGAGATTCCCAATCATGTGCTAGAGGCATGCAGGGTTAAGGGTACAATACGTACTCTGTAAGGTCTTCTCTAGACGGTGCTGAAAAACTGTTAATTCTTAAAAAGACCACAAAATTTGGGTTGTTACCGGTAATTACCGACTGAAATGCACGCGCTGGTTAACTGTTCCGGTAGAGACGATCGAAATAACTGCGAAATAAGCTCTCTGGAAAGCTAAGACAAACAATATATTAACGACTAATGCAAATGAAACTTGATTTGGGGGCTGCGTTTGAAGAAAATTTTAGTGCAATGAAAGTATTAGATTGGAGTTACTTAGAAATGTTTGATTATGTTGGTTCACAGCAACAAAATAGTGCATTTGAACAGTCAGAAGAGATTATAAGAAAGCAATCCAGTGTACTATGACTTTAAGGGCACTAGTTAATACAAGTTATTTGCTTCCAACCTTGAAATTAAGGTGGAAGCATATGACTTGCATTGTCACAGCTCTTCTATGTCTTGAAATGCAATATTTTGTTTCCAATGCCAATTTTGTGTTCACGGCAAGTTTTCTTGCACCTTACACCCGTCAAACTACCGAAAATAGGGTTGGCGCAAATTCATCGGGCGGGCGGTTTAGGCGACTTACGATTGCTGCGCTATAAGCTTCGAAAACGACTTTTTTTGGGGAATTTATTGCCTGACCATGTTTATCTTATCTTACCATTTTTGGCCAATACTTGTAGACACAGGCCCATTAGTGTAAAAAGTACATCCACTGGTTGAAGTTTGTTCGCCATAATAACATCGACAGCACAACTAAGGAGTTCGTTTCAGTATTTAAACAGTGCCTCAGCTCTTTCACTTACCTCTCCGCTTAAACA